ATCACATACATCAGCGTATATCTCTCTGCTGAGGGTGCTCGGAAATCGTGATTTGACATGAAAAACATGATTTCTTACTGGATGAACTTGACTGAATTTGGATGAAAATCTTCAAATTTCTATTTTGCGATTCACCTCATATGGAATTAATTTTTCATGCGGAATCACGATTTCCGAACACCCTCAGCAGAGAGATATGTGCTAACGTGTGTGTGATAAAGATTTCCTTGACATCCTCACCCTCAGGGAAGGATATGTGTGTATATGAGCCAGTGCATGTAAGCTACGACCGATTTTTGTAGGATGTGCTCAATCGATATCATCCGATTCGTCTCATTTTAACAGATAGAATAGAGGCAACATCTGGATGATTTCTGGCGCAGGTCGATTCAAAAAAAATACAATCCTCGACTTTTTATGGAATTTTTGCGAATAACACTATAAAATTGTATTATTACAAGAACGTATTTTAGACACCCTATATCTCAAGAAAGACTCAACTGTTTGAGGTGAAATGTTTTCTAGATTCATAGACTAATAAGTTCTACAAATAAAAAAACTTATCTCAATTTTCTCAAAAAATAAATCTCAACTTTTTTTCGAAATTATCCAGTCTTAAAAACCAACCTGTGATTTACATCATGACATAAGAACCGACTTGGAATACGTACAAACAGCTTTGAAATCGATTTATTTTTTTTGGGAAAAAAACGTAATCAATGATTTTGTTCCGTTTTAAGTAATACGTTAAGAAAATCTGAGGAAAGCATGGACGGATGGTGCTGCCAGCAGATGGAATTTTCTTCTCATTGTACTCTATCATCCTATATCTTGTTCTCAATTTCCGCACTTACCATCGTTAAGTTATAACGAGCTTAAGAGGTATAACTTAGTGGAGGGATTTTCTAATATTTCCAAATAGGGCCGCTTTTGCTAGCCTATCCAGTCCTATCCTATGTGGAATAATGTTATCGTTCATAGTCTAAACTATATAATTGATCTTAATGTAGGTGACAACATTATCTTAACTGCATCACTGAAAATATTTCTTTCGAATTTACTATACAGTCGTTGATTCTTTTTCATCATGACACATAATTTTCTCTCGTTTTGAGAATAAACTAAATGCTCAGTAAATTATTCATTTGTGAGTGTGGATGCTGTTCTTAGGAATGTTCAATTAGGCAACTCTAAAAGAAACAAGTTGTTAAAATTACTGGGAACTGAAACTGGAAAAAAACATATTGGTACAATTAAAGAAAACAGAACAGTTAAATCATGAGATGGATCCAAGAATTCTTAAATCTATATAGAGAAATCTTCATTTTTTTCATCCTACAGTTTATAATTAGATTTTAGGGTGTGGGTGTTGATCTCTTCTCCTCGCACACATGCCCCCACATCTACACCCACACCCTTCACTCGAATTTTAAATATTGAATGAAAAGTGACACATTATTCTCCAATATTGACAACATAAATGAAGAATTTTTATATACTTTTAACTCATAAGGAGTGATATGGAGAGTATAAATTTATCAAAAGATGTGAGCGATCGACTCCAACTGAATATATTCATTCGAATAATAAAATGTAAATTTTCATGTAAACGCCCAAAATTATAATATCTATTTTTTTTATGAGTCTTATTTCCCAATTTATTTTTGTTTTTGATAAGTCGATGAAACCAAAATTATTCGAGATGTCCAGCATTGTCAAATCGATTTTATCGAAAAAAAAGTAATTGAAATTATCTATTACTTCAATAGAAAATTCAAACATATAATACCAATATAATAACAAATAGAAATGAAAGAATGAAATTCGCCACGAGGAAAGTTGTTTCTTTTCAATGATATTATCCTTTGTTCACGCATACATAACTTAATTGATCGTGTGAAAATATTCGATAAGCTTACTGATCAGCCAATATACGCGCGTGATAGACTAATTCGACATCGACAGCTGTGTGTATTCGTTTTTTTTAAATTTTCTATTCATATTCAGTATGAATAGAGTCATTGTTCCATTATGTAATATAAATGACTGAGTTATTATATTTTCCATTTGAATAAAATTTCAAGAATGAACGCGAACTTTTCATTAGTATTTAAGAAATTAGTGAAATCGATTTTATTTTAGATAATCATGTCTTTCCTTCTGGATCGATTTCCAATTGAAATTCTTCATATAATTTTCGATTATTTTTGGGCTCATGAAATTCTTCATTCATTTTTTGATATAAGTGATTACTTCGATAATATTCTATCAAATTATGGTAGATATAGAATTAATGGTCAATCAATTACTAAATCTGATTTTGATTTTATATGTCATTTTATTCTACCAAATCAAGTTATTTCATTAATATTATCTGATGAAAAAGAAACACCATATCAATCTGAATTATTTTTCTCAGACTTTCAAATTCATTATTATACTCGTTTACGAGCATTAAAATTAATTGACTTAAACGATGATGGTCAAGAAATATTTATGAATTTACATCATGTTCAAAATCTTGTTTCTCTTGAAATCAATATTCGAATTGATCTTCCATTTATCAAACAATTACCATCATTAAAAAAATTAATTATTAATATACCATCAAATATACAATTTGATATTCTACCATCAATTAGTATGGTATCATTCAAATATTTACAATATTTTTCTTTATCTTATTGTACTCTTACGGCATTACAACACTTCTTTCGTCAAATGCCTCAACTTAAATCATTTAAAACATCTTTATTATTTTTCAATCCTGAAGAACTCAATGAATTATCTCATATTCATCAAATACAACCAACGCCAGTTAATCTCATTTCTTTTTCATTGTCGATAAATGCACCTTGTAAGTTTTAGAATTATTTATAAATTAATTATAAAAATTTTAATTTTTATTGTTTTTTTGGTCAAACAATAACGCGTAATCATATCGAACAACTTCTTATTCCATTTCAACATTTACAACGATTAGAATTAATCATTGAAGGTTTAGTCGAATATCGATTACTTAATGGTAATCGATGGGAAAATTTTATTATTGAACATTTACCAAAATTAGCAAATTTTGATTTTAAATTTTTTTCTGGAAATGTCAATCATAAGATACTCAATCAATATCGTTCTTCATTTTGGTTAAATAAACATTGGTATGTTGCATTTAATTCAAATCTTTCATTACTTTTTACAGTACCTTATTTTGCTCCAACTTCAATCAATAATTCATGTCAACCAATACCATCAAATTGTACAACATTACCTATTGAGCGACATTATCTTTTTTATGATCGTATTACTGCATTAACATATGAATTAGACAAATGGAATTTACCTTATCGTTATAATAATATTAAAAAACTTACATTCAATGATCCTTATATGCATGAAAATATTGTTAATTTATCAAAAGTAGAATCATTTATTGTAAATACATCGGATTGGTTGCTTAATAAAATAATTATATTAATTAAAGAAGAGATGCCTTCAGTTAATTATCTTCGTTTAAATTGTAGTCAACCTAATGTAAAATATAAATATTTTTCTGGTATTTCATTACCGCAAATTCGGACATTATCTTTACCGGAATATGGACGATGTAAAGGAAAAGTTAAATTCTATTGGTGGAAACTTTTTCCACGTGTTGAACGATTAATTGTTTCAATTAATTCAAAAAAGCAAATTCCATTTTTAATTGATCATTTCAATAAGATGATTAGTGGTTTTTTTGTTATTCATAATGATTATTTTGATATGTATGATCAAATTAAAATAACAAGTCAATGGTTAAAGAAAAATACATGTCGATTAAAAAGAAAAAATGAACATGAATTTGTATGTCAAATTAATGATCAATTTGGCTTTTCATTAGCTTTATGGATTAGTGAAGATTTTGAAATAGATGAATGAATATTCAACTTCAATGTAAACATTATTAGTTATTCTATGGAACTCGAAAACAAAAAATAAACATTCGATTTGTAAATCTATCTTTTTTTTTTATTCATGAAAAATAAAACGTTGATTCATATTCAAAAGCCATAAACTAAATTATGGAAGTTTATATGTTTGACAGTTTTTGTTTGAAAATGCCAGTTCATAGTGTATGTGATTCGACTCAAATCAGATAATAGAAAATGTGAGTTTTACATAGTGAAGAAATTATCGAAATGTTTTGTGAAATGAATGATCAAGTATGATTCCTTTAGCTTTAAACAGAACACAAAAACAAAGTAACTAAAAGATTTTCTCTTTAAGACATTTAAATGAATGATTATTGTTCTTGCTGAAGAAATTTTTTAATGTTCTTTTATTGTATTTTAGAAAACTAGAGATATCATAATGAATTTAAAAAGTAAAGTCTTTTATCTTCAAGTAAAACTTTGAATATTTGAAAAAGTTCGTTGAATTATGATAGAATAGACACTGCACACAAAAATGAACGTCTGAAATAATATACTTATTATTCACATACAACAGCTTCTCTAAATCAAAAAAAAGTCCTATAATTTTTAAATAAAATGACTCTACTAGTGGGACTACACAACACTTCTTTAACTTAAACGAGATGATGATTAAAATGAGAAGTGTGACGCAGAGTAAAGAATAAGAACTGAAAAAAATCTCGAAACGATCATTTCTTCACCTTTTGTATTAATTGTTCTTGACGCGAGTTTATAATATACTAAAAGAGTAGGTAATCGAAAACGATAAGCATTACGAAAAACACAAATGTCTTTTATATTAATTGATGATTTCAACATTGTAAGAGAGAAGTTTTTCTTCATCAGCAAGTAATGTTGTTTCACATTCAAATATTGTCCTATCTTGTGTGCATCCACTATTAGATGTTACTAAATTTACTGATCGATTATTCTTGAAATTTTTTTAACAGAACAGTAACATTGTAAATCGACAGTGTTCGTTGTTCAATTGTGTTGGTTGCTTGAATAGTTTCATTGTATGTTCGTGATGAAACTAATGTAGCAGTTTCGTTATAAAAAAATATCTGGATCTTGACCAATTGAAAATTCATGTGTATCTTTAGCAGCTATATCTAGTAAAAATGTATCACCAATCAGGTAATCATATTCACGTATCATACAATTTTCACGAGGAAGAAAAACATCAGATGACAAACGATATGTACGTTCACAGCTTTACCAATCGATTTTCTAACACCATAAAAATGCATTTTATAAATACATACAAAACGGGTCACGTTCACTTGTGGACGAAACATTGGTAAAAGATAATTTGTTTTCCATCAATAGAAAATGATTGATTAATAGTATATACATATAGACCAGCAACTTCCTGGTGCTGTTCAACTGTTGGTGAAGATTGTAACGCGCACCATACCGTTGAAGTGTAGTAAAAGTTATTTTGTGTCCAAGAGTTTTGTTGTTCAGATATTTGTAAATTAATATCATCAGCTAAAAGTTCAGCGCATTCGATATCAATGTTTGATTTTCCATTATTTCGAATATCGACCATCGCAATCAATATTGGTTCCTTTAATTCTTCAAACAGATGTAATTGATAATGCGTTTTCCAATTAAGATTTGAGCGAAAATAACTAACATACGCTGTATCTGTTGTATAATATGTAAAATTAACATAATATTTTGATTGAGTTGGTTCATTAATACAAAGTATTTGATCAGATGAAACAGTAAAACAAGATTGGTTCTTGACTAATATTATTAGTAATAAGTTTAACAAGATTTCTACTTTCATCAATCATTGTTGCTGGGAGAAATTTTGTTTCTATTTGTGATGATAATGATGAACGAACATAAATCATGAGGGTACCACGAAAACCTTTATCGCACACATTCCAGCACATATCTCTCTGGCTGAGGGTACTCGGAAATCGTGATTCCATATGAATAATACATTCTGTATTGAATGAATTGCACGTGAGAAATTCGAAGATTTTCATGCAAACTTAATCAATTCCATTTAGTACGAAATGTGTTTTTCACGGATCCTCAGCAGAGAGATGTAGTTTGCGTGTCGCTTTCCGAGTACTCTCAGTGGGAGAGATATGCTGTTTGCCAATTTCTCAATGTGTCTGTCTTTTCGTACACCCACATTCAGAGAAATACTGTATATTTTTTTATTCTTCACATAACCTATGTAAGTATCACAGTAAGGAAGTTGTCATAAATCCATTGTCAGTTTGACTTCTGAAGATTCACTATGTTTTTCTGAAAACTATTTTGTTCTTAGAAGTATTTATGGTTTCCGGAGTCATTAGATTTGCTGAAAATTCATTTGCGCTGCCTGAAATTTATTCGTGCTTCCGAAAATTCATTTTTTTTCCGTGAATTTATGTCCATTTCCGGAAATTCATTTTAGTTCCCAGGACACCCATTTGATTTCTGAATCTCGATCATTTACTGGAAATTCATATAGAGCATAATATGGGCGATACATGTGAGTACATATGAATACATGAATGGTCGCATTTTGTTTTAATTAATTTTTATTTTCAAGGACAAATGAGACGATTGCTTAATTTTAAACTCTTTATTTTATATTATTATATTCACCCTCACACTACCTGAGGATTCCAGTAACTGAAATAAAATGGCGATTGTGGTAGTTATAATTTCATACTCATCCTAGATTTCAGTTGATTAAAGTAGTTCAAGATTCACAAAGGTATACAAACAAGTTATAACAGGTCTTTAAATTTAATCGATTTTTTTCAATTAAAAATCGATTCCAAATTTCTACCGATGATTAACCGATGAAACAATGATCGAAACAGGGATGATAAACTTTTTTAATTTGACTTAATTAATACATGATCGTAAATGCCCTATCTAAAATCATCATGTTAATGTAGTGCGTTTGGACTAGTGCAAGAAAAAAAGCAGCATTTCTCTGTTACGTGTTTTGTCATTTTCGCACAGTCAATCTTTATTTTTGTGCCTTTTTTCACAAAATGTCACTCCCTTTCAATCGAATATTAGTAATTTCTTGTCACGTCATTATTCTGATGTTATTACATCTTGCGTTCTCCCGTTTGCCTTCAACGTACAAAGACACCAACTGTTTTTTTTCTGTCATCGAAGGAAAACAACACATGCACATTGTGAATATTTTATCATACAACAAAATGTATGAGTAAACGATTCATCTTCCACAATCAAACTCTTCTATATACATCTTCTTAGCTGTTCTTGGACGTTTTCTACTGAAGTGAGTTGATGTGTTCATTTTCTTTGCGATAGATCCAAGTTTCGTAGAGATAAACTTCTTCAAAAGGTCACATATGAACAGACTGATGTAAAAATCTTGTCAACTTACAAATGAATCTAGACTTCATACTGATTAATTCCCATTTCAATCGCATGAAGAATTTAACTGCTTGAATGAATACTATTCCAATCGAAATATGAACACAGTAGATATTTGCTAAATAAATTAAAGCTGTTTGTGCACAATTTCATCATGGTTATCGTATTTCAGTTATGTTTGTCGAGAAATTTCTCAGATTTCATGCTTCTTTCGAGTCATTTTCTTCAAATAGTGACTAACATCATAATTCTATGCAAATTTGTAATTTATTCTGTGGAGAAAATTTAGATATAGTAAAAATGATTTACCATAAAATATGATATGTTCAGTTATGCATACGTCTGAATTCTAATTTAGATTGAGAATCAAGACATTAATCGGTAATAGGCAAGATATGGCAAATAAGTGGACTCCCACAAATGCAGGAATAGGAGCACTGACAGTGAATATGCTACAGCATGATATGGAAGCTACGGATGATGAATTGACCTTTTACAAGATTTAATCAATCTTCGATCGAAGAAACGAGAGCCACAATTACCGAAAGACGCTGGTTATGGTAGTCCTTCAGTAGTGATTGACAATTTCCTCTACCATGACGAATTAAAACATGCAGTGAATAAAAGATTACTGACCGACTTAAATATTCGACATATAGTTAACGTAAACGATTGTCCGTTAGAACAAGATGTCCACGATCATTTTAATGTATTATGAATCAATTTGGATAATGACTTCAGTGCTGATATTTCTCAATATTTCGAAAGTACAAGTAAATTCTTGAACTCCTGTAAGATAAAGGGCGACAAGGTAGTGGTTCACTGTCAGATGAGTATCTCTTGTTCGTCTTCGATTGTTCTTGCTTATCTTCTGAAGTAATATCCATACTTGTTTATTAAAATTCGTTTTCAATCTTTTGAGCTAGGTACCATCATGATTCTTTGGCTAAAGCCTATGATTATCTGGTTGCATAGTACCGATGAAATATCAGCGAAGTATCAATGAAGTACCGATGAAACGCAAGCGAAGTACGCACTCCTGCAGTCCCGCTTTTCCCTCCTTGGCCCTAGATGCTCTAAAGTATACCCTACGGAGATCTCAATCACCTCCAAAATATCGCCTAAGACAGTTCAAATACCTGCAAAATAAAGCCCTGGAGATGTCCTAGGATTCTCAAAAATATAGTCTAAGAAAGTCGCTGGTACCTGCAGAATATAGATTTTGAAAGATCCCAAGTACCGTCCAAGATAGACTTCAGAAATTTACAGACATAATAACTAGAGCCTAAAGTACAAATGAAGCCCAATGAAGTACCGTGAAGTATGCGTGAAGTACCGTGCAAAGCGAAGTTAAAAAAAAAGACAGTCGAAAACACAGTCTCATTAAGTTACTTTCAATGCTCTTTCTTCTTACCCTTAATATCGGGTATTAAAGCCAAATATTCAATTGTCTTCGAGATAACTTGATATTTGTCTCTGTGTAGTGCAATGAATTTTTATCATTTCGAATAATTTCATCCAACTGTTTTTTCAATGTTTCCAATACGACGACGGCTGTTTTCGAAGAAGAACGGATTACAAACATTAAATATGTCAAAGAACGAAATAGTTTTTTTAGTTTTGAAAGAATTGAAAATAGATTGTCAATGGCAAATTGTTCGTCGCTAACGGGCAGTATAAGACGTTCTATGCAGGGTAGAATTTCTGATAAATCATCGAAGAAAGTTGTATGAAATTTTGGTAGATACGAAACTTCATCATCCTTCCCAACCGAATCAGATTCATCAACATGAAAATCAGTGACTTTTGCCGAGAGTTTTTGAAATGGAAGGTTTTTCAAATAAAAAATTATTGTTTGCGTATCGTCACTTAGAAAATGTATATTGTTAATATTTGGCGATTGAGCTAGAATTTTTCTTACGATTGAATATGTACGAATTTTTGAAAGTTCATCAAGATACTCGCTATAGCAACGAAGTTTAATTCTTTTCAAATTAACAAATTTTTTCCAGTAATTATCGTCCATAGAATCGAATTCCTCTGGAAAAACTTTGTCTGATAAATGTTCTATGCCAACGTCAAAAGATTCGTAATTTAGTAGTTGTTCAGAAGTAATCACTTGCTTGTAACTGTCATACTGGATGAGCTCGTTAAGTGGTCGAACTTCGATTAAACGTGGAACAGGTTTTGGACATGTGTGAAACGAGTAACTTGTCTGTCTTTGACCTGAGTAGATTGAATCGTGCAGGGTGTGGGTGTGGGTGTGGGGTGTGGGTGGGTGTGGGGGGTGTGGGTTGGTGTGGGTGTGTGGGTGTGGGTGCGTGTGGGTGTGGGGTGTGGGTGGGTGTGTGAGTGTGGGTATGTGGGTGTGGCTCTTCTCTTCTCGCATTCACGCCCACACCCACCCACCCACACCCTGATAAATTGTTAATGATATTTTTCATAGTTTTTATTGATGTAGAGAGCTGAAGCTTTCAGACATATTAGATCTTGATTAGATATATATGTGATAAAAATTTCAGTTCTCTACATCAGTAAAAACTATAAAAAAATATCATTAACAATTTATCATCAGTTATTATGGGACACCCTTTATGTTTCCTTATTTTTGAGCCACCCTGTATTAGACATCAAACGATATAATAAACACTTTCAAATTGTAAACATTCTATTTCTAACATCACTCTGATTAATTTACATAAGCGTAAAGCTTCCATGTGTCTCCTAAATAATAAAATTATTGTAAAATGCAAGATTTTAAGAAAAGATAAAAGGTTTAGTTCGTCTGACTTATTCGGAAGACTGATTTAATTTCAGTTCTGAAAGTTGAAATTTTTCTAGAAATTAGACTAAATTCCTGTAAAAGATCGTACCGCGCCGCTGCCACGTTGACGTTTTAAATGGCCTGTCATGCCGCAGTAATTTTAAAAAGAACCTGCCCCTGTCGCGCCGCCAATCGTGGCAGCGGCAGCGGGAGTGTCGCGATGGACATCTCTGAAAAGAAATTTAATCAAAGTCACAGAGAAGGATATATTACAGAAAACTTATCATAATTCGTTGTGATCAGCTAATGGATCATCGACTTGAGATATATTGTTACAACGATTTTTAGTGAACTCTACAAATTTTAATTAGACAAAAGAAAAACCAAAAAGATATATTTAGCATACTCTGCAACTTGTGGTCAGTTAAAAGTACAGCTGAATATATAAACTTTGCTAAAATTGATATTGATGAATTTTTGAAGTTTTAAAAACGAAAAATTTTAAATT